CCCAGCTGGGTCAGGAGTGTGGACACCTGCTGCCTCCCCCTGCCCCCCCCCACGCCCCCAGCTGGGTCAGGAGTGTGGACACCTGCTGCCTCCCCCACCCACCCCCCACGCCCCCAGCTGGGTCAGGAGTGTGGACACCTGCTGCCTCCCCCCGCCCCCCCCACAGCCCACAGCGGGGTCAGGAGCGCGGACACCTGCTGCCCCCCCACCAGTGCTCACAGCTGAAAACATCTGCTCGATGTACAGCAGAAGTAAAAAAAAAAACCTAACAAAATATTAGGAACCATTATCGCTAATAAGACAGAAAACATATTGCCACTGTATAAATCCATGGTACACCCACACCTTGAATACTGCATGCAGATGTGGTCTCCCCATCTCAAAAAAGATCTATTGGAATTGGAAAAGGTTCAGAGAAGGGCAACAAAATGATTCGGGGATGGAACAGCTGCCATATGAGGAGAGATTAATAAGACTGGGACTTTTCAGCTTGGCAAAGAGAAGACTAAGGGGGTTATGATAAAGGTCTATAAAATCATGACTGGTGTGGAGAAAGTAAGGAAGTGTTATTTACTCCTTCTCATAACATAAGAACTAGGGGCCACCCAATGAAATTGACAGGCTGCAGGTTTAAAACAAACCAAAGGAAGTATTTCTTCACACAACGCACAGTCAACCTGTGGAACTCCTTGCCAGAGGATATTGTGAAAGCCAAGACCATAACATGGTTCAAAAACGATCTAGATACATTCATGGAGGATAGGTCCATCAATGGCTATTAGCCAGGATGGGCAGGGATGTGTCCCTAGCCTCTGTTTGCCAGGAGCTGGGATGGATCACTTGATGATTCCCTGTTCTGTTCATTCCCTCTGGGGCACCTGGCATTGGCCACTGGCGGAAGACAGGATACTGGGCTAGATGGACCTTTGCTCTGACCCAGTCTGGCCGTTCTTATGTTCACAGGCCCCCTAGTACCACACTGGGGCAGTGGGGCCAGCACTGAGCCCCCACTGCTCCCTGCAGCACAGCGACCCACATCATGAGGAACCAAGTGCAATCAACATCCACAAACCCGTGGGGCCTGCTCTGCAGCGATCACTGCCCATGCACTGTGGGGCCAGCAGAGCAAAGCAGCCCCTGGGGGCCAGAGCAGGACGGCTAGTCACAAGGGCTGCCGGGCGGTTCTCAGATGTCGGCCGCATCCCTTTAACACCAGCTCCAGGCTCAGGGTCCCAGCGGCTGCCCGGCTCTGCCTGGCGGTCACCCCCAGGGGCTCCTGGCTCAAGCCCCGCAGGTGGTGACTCCATCTTAACTGCTGTGGAGCAGCCCTGGAGACCTGAGCCAGCAGGGGCTCATTCATGGCTAAAACACAGCAGGTGTCATGTTATTGCTTTGAACTGGGACCATATAGAACATGGGTGCAACCGAAGTCCTGCAGTGGCACCAAATCTTGTATAAAGGGGGTCAAATAAGGTGTCTAAGACAAGGTTATGGTTTGCTGGTTATGATTATGCTGTCTATATGTGTGTATCAAGTTTGCAGTTGAAGTTATGAATATTGGCTCTACACTGTCTGTATTTCAAATTTATGCTATGCTGCTGGGTGACATCCCAGACAAACTGGTGTTAGCTCTGCCTAGCCTGCTTGATGGCCCATTAAGGACCATCAGCTATACAATGGACCCATTGAGAGAAGGCAGATACGCCTTGTACCTCAGCAAAGTATGCAGGGACTGGCCCATGTGACTCCAGACTCCATTTTGCTGTAATTTTCCACAGTAAAGACAAAGAGGTGTTCTTACACCTGGAAAAGACTATAAAAGGCTAATGCTTCATTTCCATCTTGTCTTCAATCCTGCTTCTGACCTCTGCAGGGACTTTGCTACAAACAGAAGCTCTGAACAAAGGACTGATGACCCATCCCAGCGGGGGATGTTCCAGAGACTTG